TTTATATATTTTGTATGCTTTTATGATTTATCAGTACAGGGTGTCCCTGTGCCTTTTTAAAACTACAAAGCATAGGAGCCAAAAATGTGATTTGCCCAACTGGTTTCTGTTATTTTTCAATACTTAAATGTTTAAGGGTTTACGAATGTTTAATGTGCTTTGCTCTATCAGTATAACGGATATGATTCAGTTTTGGGTGGAGGTTAGCGATTGGTTATTGGTTAACGTAATTAAGTGCATCTGGAAACCGTAAACGAGGATTACAAACTTGCGCCTTTTGTTTTAAGTTCAGTCTGTTCAGATTTAATTGCATTACCCAGAAAGGAAGTGAGAGTATCCTCTTGTGCCAGTAATAACTCCAGACTGTTTACTGAGCAGACAATTTGAATTACAGAAAACCGGTCGCCGGGGGAGCTGTAATAAATTGTAAATTAACTGCAGACAAGTGGCTAGGTTTAGGAAGAAAACAACCACCCGCCAGATATAATGTGGTCTCCAGTTTCAGGAGTTTTTGTTTTACTTTTGTTTAAAAAAAAACAGTCCTGACAAAACGGAATAGTTTTGTAACGTTGTAGTTATTGTGTTTTTTTACGACAGGAAATTGAAAAAATACTGCTCAGATAAAACTTTTGTTCCTGAAAGTTTTAGATTTGTCATTTTTGACAATTTAACGCTTTCCACTAACAAAACATGAAGGATAATTAGGATAATAGCACAACCGACCCTTTGACCTTAATTTTATCGGCAACTAGGTGAAATCGTATGACGTACAACAGGTGCTTATAGGTTAAATACTTGTGCAAGTGTTCGATATAATACTGTGGGAAACCAGACTAGTTGAAAAGTTACAACAGGCTACTTTTGAAACAGCCTAAAAAACAGGAAGATCTCAAGTAAGACAGCTATCTGATGAAGTCAAACCATTTTATAAAATATTGTATTAATTTCGCGGTCGTAATTTTGCCGAGACTTCGACAGTTTGGCGCGAGCGCACTGCCGCCGTCGTTCCCGGTCTTTTTTTACATTAGGGCGGATTGACGCTCTGTCGTCTAATTTACCGATTTTGAGAGTTTTCCCCAAATATGTGATTTCCTCAGAGGATGATTTTATCAGAGGATATCGACATTTGTATGGAAGAAGGAAAACTTCGCTGAAAGGTATGTTTTCAAGCGATATGTTCGTTAAAAAAAGGAGAACGTGGTAGGCCAGGAAAATCGATGTGGATTAATTTCGGCCAATATTCTTCTGGTGTTCCTCTCTATCGACTGCGACTTCGTTCCGCTTTTAAAAGTATTAAGGAAATGTGGTGTTTTTACTTTTTTTCCGATGGTTATAAACATTTTCGTTCGCGCAGATGCTACACTTAACATCTCAAGGGAAAATCGCTGTAAAAAAAGCAACGCTACGTGCCCCTAGTTCATAACGATTTAGTCTAAAATGGGAGCGCCTGTGAGATATTATTGAACAATTAAATGCCGTTTTAAATTCAGGGAGGTCTGGTCCTCCAGGGATTGTCTCTCAGAGTTGCTTTATAACCGATCTCTTAATTACTCAGCCATCACCAGTGAAACTGGCCTGGGTCTTTAGAAACTACGTTATTGTAGTTGAGTGTTTTACTTGAATTCCTCGGTTTATTAAGGTTTTTGTTTAACGGTCATGGGAAAAATACGTTTAAAAATAAATTGACTTGGTGGTATTTCAGACATTTAAAAAATGTAGACCGTTAGCCTGCTACGTGTGACTCGATGACCCACTTTCGTCCACTCCTAGATGAGGCCTGGTAAAAATGTCATTTTGGACAGAGTGGTTCAGTTTCTGTTGAGTTTAGAAATAATCAGAAATATCAGAGCATCGTAATCGATGGCTGCAGCTCAAGCCCTTCCAAGCCTAAACTGGCCGCCAGGCGGCGCCCTCATCCTTAACAACACCCCTCCCCTCCCCGCAAGTGCGCTAAAATAATATTGAAATACACAGCTGACGTGTGGACTGTCCTATTTCTGTACACGGCGTGTTTAATTATTGAAGCTTCTCAGTGTCTTATTTGATCCCAGTCAGAAAAGCGTATTAATAGCGCCGCCATCAATTATTCAAGCTGCGGTCTCTTCCAGAGGGGAGAGATCTCTCCAATCACCCGCCTCCCGGGTCACCGAGAGCCCCGCGGGCAGCGTGGGTTGGTGGGGTGGTTAGCGTGGGGCTGCTTGCGTCCTCGCCTCGATCGCTCCTAGATGACTCGTCGGTAGACTGCATATACTGGCGCTAAAGACACCGTCCCTGCGCCCAGCGTGTGAGCCCCAACCCAGCCCGAAGCGCACGACGGAGGGGTCGCAGCCCCAGCTGGGTCGAGCCGCCGCAGGTGGCTGGTGTGTGTTTTTTTTTCTATTGTGAAATAAACTTTATTTCACAATAAACACCTTACAATAAGTTCTCACTCTTAACAAGTCATGCAGAGTCACGCAATCTCTGCTACTTTACAGATGTTGTTGAAAGGGTGGTTGTCCTTGATCAATCGGAGCGAGTGGAAACGGGGGCTGGATTGGCACAATTAGAGAGACCCTCCGAGCCCTGCCCCGGTCGGGCGGGAGCTGGTGTTAGTCCTTCAGGGGTGACCGCACCGCAACCGGCCAGCTCCTGAGGGAAGAGACTGGCTCACCTGTCACAAGAGCAGGGCACACGCACCTGCCTTTCCACAAGCAGAGCACAGCGGATTCGCTCTAGAAAAAGAGCCGGTGATAAGGCTAATGATCAGGAAACGCTGGGCTGCAGAAAGCCAGGACTTCCGGAGCGCGGTGTTCCTGGGCTCCGAGAGGGGGCGGGGCCGCCCGGTCGGGCTCTGCTGGCCGAGACAGCGGCTAATTTATGGGGGTCGATAAGCGCGGCCCTGTCCCTCTCGGCTGGGAGATAAATCTCTGAAGGGAGGACACATCATTAACCGAACGAGCCGCCACGTCCAGGGTGACTTTCAACGACCTGTCTTGCCCTGGGGACAAATTCATCTCTCTCTTTTGAACCCTAGGTAAACTAGTTAATTTCTGAGTAATCTTTATTTTAATAATAATAATAATAATAATAATAATAGTAATGAATGAGACCAGATTTTTCCTCTAGTATAATTCCAGCCTTATTCCTTGTCCTTTCTAAAAGCCGGCGCAGTGGGTCCTGTGTGTTTCAGATTGGCGCAGAATGAGAAAGACAGTCGGTTCTGGCTCTGGTGCCTGTGAGCTGGCCTGCACACCCCCCTTTTTCCCAGAGCTCGCATTTAGCCAATTGGTTTTCCTAAACCCTTCCGGCGAAAGGGCGGCACAGTGAGCATTGCTGCCTCACAGGGCTGGGGCCCTGGGTTCAGTTCCAGGCCTGTCTGTGTGGAGTCTGCATGTTCTCCCGGGTGATACTTTGGCAAAAGGCATGCTGGCCAAATTTCCCCATCGGCCTTTATCAATCATGGCCTCCTAACAATCCCCGTCTATGAATTGGCTTCATTACTCTGCTCTCCTCCCCA